CTTCAAAAAGAGGTGAACACATGAAATTGAGTTTGAAGTCGAACAAAGTTAGTAAGGTTCGACCAACGTACCTACCAATATGCTTGGTAGCAGCATCCCCTGAATAGTCTGCATTATAAAACAACATAAGCTTTTCTCGGGAATAGATTGGTGAAGGGAGTGTCTGGATGATACCAAACTGTCGAGAGATAAGATTCGGTTGATAAGCAATCAAACTGAGTTGATTCTTCAAACTCTTGAGTCTCAGTGGCATGATTCTTGGGCGAATAAACGACTCCCAGATAGCCACATACTCATCCACATGGTCATCTTTATCATATGAAGAATATGGTCGAATAAACCATTCCGGACCAACCTTTCTGCTAGCAAAGGGAGACATAATCGAAACAAATTCCTTACGCTTTGCAAACATCATTACAAAGCTAATAAATGCTTTCTGGAATTGTTGACCCTCATTAGTTGGAGTCAACAGAACCAGTCTAGTTCCTTCGACCCTTCTGTTTAGGACTTCTGGGGCCCTCTCATTAATCTTGTTCTTATGAGGAAGAAAAGATTCAAAAGTGGCGTTGAGCCAAAGTTGAAGAAGCCAAAAGGGACCAGAAAGGAGCAAACTCGCCTTGTCTCCAATAACTTTAAGTTGAGTCACACCATTGCTGATGGACTCATACAGGTTGGCTAAAATCAATTCAGCCAGACAAAGGGGATAGCCATGATGAAGTTGCGTCTCAAGAGTGATCATCTTCTTAGTCACTTGAAGTGACTTAGTGCAGAAAATGAAGCGAGATAACCACAAAGCTAGGAAAGCTATGTGTTCCACTTTAGAGACAGTGCTACTAGACTTGTCGTGAAAATGGTTGATGAATGTGGTGTATGTGGGTTTCATGGATGAAAACCCGATAGCATCTTCAGACAAATCCTCAGGGTCGAAACAGTCACCAGTTGGTCGAAGACCATTAATGGCGACTATATCGAAAATAGTTAGGGTTACCATTCCATAGGGAAAATGGAAGGTGAAATGCATATTATCCCAAAAATACAATGGAGATACCAACATGAGAGGGAAATAAGATAACCCAGTCTTCGATAGCATAATCAAGTCATAAATCCCCATATCCTTCCAGATTTGGGCCCACACATTTTCCATCTTACTCAGCCATTCAGAGTATTCTGAAGTAAGACTAGGGCAAGATCGAAAGATCCTATTCCCCTTGTTCATGAACTGAAGGTTGATATCTTCCTTAGTTTGAGAGTGTTGCTGGTTAGCAGGGTTGCATCCTCAGGATCACTCCTGGGTTTCTTCGCGCAACCTATAGGCTTGAGCCTAGGGTGAGTTGGGAAGAAGGTATTATTTTGTTTTGGGTTCTCGAAGCATGTAGATAGTGGGCCAGACATGGCATACATGTGCCCAGAATACTTAACGGGAATGAGTAACTGAGAGTCATAAGCTTCATGCCATTCTCTGGTCATGGGTTCAGAAACAACCCTTCACTCCCCAGTCGAAACAGGAACAGGGCTAGTGGAAAAAACCTTTGGTTGTCTTTGTAGGTCAGAAACGTTCTTAGTTTTGGGATTGTTTGGTGCGTTTGAAAGGAAATCCATGGTTGAAGGTAGTGAAAGAACGAAGAAGATGAAGTTCTTAATACTTTTGTTTGAAAGAAAATAAAGAGTATTAGGAGTTGTAAAAAATTTGTGGCTATTTATAGTGTTCAGGGAAGAGTGTTTTCCCTCAAGACCATTTAATGCTACAGAGTTAGTGGGGTACGTGGCGAATGTTGAGGCAGTTATCGTACATGTAATGGAAATGTTTGCCATACTTTCCTAGGTTGTAGGGATAATGGCCATCATGGCAGCGTAGTACCGACTGATTGAAAGCGACATATTAGAAAAAGGTAGTGATGACTCTGAATACCAGAAGTGGTTGGTAGAAGGCGAAAAGCGCACGAGTAACTTCTGTGGTAAAAAAAGAAGACAAGTGTCGAATGAGAATCTCAAAGAATGATCATTTCTTCTTGCGTCGAAATTGACATTCTTGGGGGGCAATTTGTTAGTTCCTAAATTCGACACCCACAACAAATTGGCCTTATGGGCCAAAAATAGATTGAACAAATCTAAGCTGGAAATACTTCAACAGATTAGAAAAATACTTAGAGAAATTTCTGAGTTAAAATTAATCTTCGACCAGAAGGTTCTTGAGGCCTTCGACTGAAAGGGCTCCAGGGCCTTCGATTAAAAGGAAACCTCGCATCATCATTAGGTAATTTTGAATCTGAAGAAAGGAGGGAAAAGAAGTTCGCTTAGCAATTGAGGAAAGTAACGTGGCATGAAGATAGAGGTTGAAGCACATGTAGAAGACACTTGTCCTCATCCTAGAGCAAAGTAACTCCCTCGATGGTTACGTAATTTTAGTATAAATATAGGAAGTTTATGTAGATTTTAGGGGGGTTTTCAACTAACCGTACAAGTCATTCAATACTATTCGAGTACCCGCTGCGTGAGAAAGAATACTGAAAATGTACGTTTGAAACACCACATTTTATAATCAAAGTCTTTTACATTCCTCTTTACATTCCTTTCCTTTTTATCTTGCTTGCAAACATCTATTTTCCCTTGCACTTTACTTGCACTTTTATCAGATTCCTGCACTTAAACTCTTTTCCATCTCTTTTCTATTTACTTTCTACACTCAAAATCATTTCAAACTTCAACCCTTCTCAGTCGAACACGCGTTCTTTATTTATATTAGCATTTATGTCCAAACTGCGTAAAAAATTAGCATATGTCTTAGGATCAAACTGATCGATCCTACGAGTAACCAAAAATTTATCCTTTTTGGAAGATCAACGGTTGTTTATCGAATAACACAATAAACATCGGTGTGGACCAGTGGGTCTCAGATTTTGTTGATACAGGCTGGTAGGTCCCGACCTTTGGCCGATACACAATAACCCCCCCCCCCCCCCCCCAAGACTTGTATGTGGAATGTTTAATGTTGGGGGAGTCTTTTAGTAGCAGTGAGCGGCCTTGAAGGAGTTTATTCTAACGTCGGCTGGCATGCACCGCATTAGTTTTTCCAAAGCGTGATGCGAATATGAATCTTGAATGTAGTCCTATCATTGAAATGTTTTGTCATTTTTCTTTGACGTGTGATATAAAAAACGTATATATGGGGTGATGTGACGCATATTTATGTGTACTTGAGTACTGATGAAATCACTTTTGGTGGGGTAACTATTTTGTATCATTTTCACATGGATTAGTGCGATATCACTATCGTTCCACAGTTAATACGATTTTAAGGAAATATTCATAAAAGTTTTAATTGTAAAAAGTAGTGATTTGTAATAACAGATAATTGCTTACGAAATTAACGAGTAAAGAAACATGTCAGGATTAGATTTCATTAATCTATTTCATATGTATTCTACTAATCTACCATGTGAATTTAGTTACTAATCGCTATAATCATGTATCACTCTTCAACACCGCTTATGTCTAACCGGTGTTGTGGGTTTTACTGTATGGTTTAATCGATGATCTCTCAACCTATTAAGTAATACACTAAAATTAAGACTTGATACAAGTGAATATCAAAATCTAAATTTATATCTAGACTTTGGTCTTTGATAGATGATTATCTTAGGTCAAGACTTGAAAGATATTTCTCAATAATGATTCAAACTATAAAAATAACATGAAAACAAAGATAACATCTATGTTGATTCATAACTAGTTCACATAACAAAGATCAAAAGAAATACATATGAGTACAGTTAATTACATCCAATCCAGACACAAGGGATTTAGATACACATCATCATGGTATCTTTCTTCACGAGAAATGAAAAGAGATGAATAAGCATCCAAGTTGATTAATCGACAAAGGTTGCATATTCAGCTCTGACTAATTGATTCTGAGTTTTTCTAATGCTCTTAGTGTATTTCTTTCTAAAAATGGGCGTATAAGGCTAAAATTATGAAGTGAAATGCTTAAATACAAGTCTCAAAAAGCAGACCGCACTAAGCCCCAACAGGGTGCGCTTAGCGCAACTAGCAGACAAAAGGAGCAAATCGTCTTAATTGGCGCTTAGTGCCCTCATGCTACATGGTTGTGCTTTGCGCGAAAGCCCCTGGATTCCTAACTTATGATGGCACTTTGAGCATGCTTAGCCTCACCTGTAGGTTTGCTTTTGATTTAAAAATGCATGTTAAAGCTATTATTTTGTCTTTTAATGCTCAAATCTCCTCCAATGCAAAGATACCTATAAGATGAGTTGCAAATGATCAATCTACACAATATTTACATGATAAGACTATAAAGTTAATATTTACACAAAATTTGAGGTTTTGACTTGTGAATCCAATTAATCAAGTTAATAAGTGTCACTATTAATACAAATAATCAACACATTTTGGCCTTTATCAAGTACACTCGAGTGCGATTGTCTTCTCCGGATAAAATTTGACCGTTGATCTGTCATTATTTCCCATTTTCAATCTGATATGTTCGATTGCCTTCATATATATAAAGGTAGAGATAGGACATGGAAAACCTTTTTAGCTCTTCCACATATTAAGTTTCCCTTGTCTCTTCGAGTTTTTCCCTCTTGCCCGATAACACTTACTTCCCAGAGTAATTGTCGTCGCATGTTCATAAATTTGAAGTACTAAAGCTTCAAATTTTTAGCTTCATTTCCCATTTCAGAGCCTTTGCCTTCCTATTTTAATGTACCATTTCTTCACCTCAACTTTTACTCAAGTTTTTATCTCATTTTTATTATTATGAGTGGTAACTCTATTATCATCGAGAGTAAATCGGAGGGTAGTGTTTCTTCATATTCGAGAAAGGGAATGAAGCCTAAGTCGCATTCTTTCCTTTTGTCGGGGGGGTTTCTGAATCAGGAATCATCGTATTGAGTGATGGTTGGGAGATGGAGGATTTAGCTTGAGAATCTCTGTCATATGACGCTTCATTCACGAACACTTCATAATCCATATTCCTTATGGAGTCTAGTGGGGGTGGAAACCTTGTCGTGAAATTGATGCCTCCCCTTGTCTTAATCAAGACAAAAATAGAGGTTGCATGTCAAAGGAGTGAACACGTTGGTCATTTTGTCCAAATATATCAGGAGTCGATTGGTCATGATTTAGAGATTGCTTGTCACTTAGAGTGTGAAGGGCAACGTGACGTCGTATTTGGAGTCAATCCCAGTGATCATCATAGAGTTGGCGTGTTGGCATTTAAGGGTACTTGGATAATAAATTCGGTCAATGTAAGTAGGTATCATTGGGTGGCCGCTAAAATAGTTAGGAATCCATTTGTCCTGAACACCACTAAGGTCATAGCTCATGTCAACATCATAATAGGTGATATGTTGAACTGGGTGATTCTGCCATTAGGTCCAGATGTGAGGGTGTGTAATACTTTTGAGGGTTGTTCGATTCCCTTGTATGAGTGTCTCTTTAACATGTTTGGTATACATCTACTTATCTCTAATTTTGAGGTGGCCGTGTTGAAACACTTAAAAATTCCCCCTCACAACTTCATCCTGGAGCCTCGACCTTCATATTGATGTTCCAGCTTTGTGTCGGGTATAAGTCTTGAAAGCCTTTGTTGGGGTTCTTCTTTGACCTCTTCTTTGTCGCTCGTCTGAGTACAGCTTCACCATTAGATATTGATAAATGGTTTTTACACTGTTGTTTACCGTTGATTTTAGTTATCTTTATTTCTATTGTCAAGCATTTTACTCCATGTTTCCACATTTTATGTGTTGGTTGTGTGTTTTACTCTTTTTAGGCTAAGAGGAATAAATCAGGACAAATCAGTGTGAAAAAAAATTAAAAACTCAGAGTTTAAGAGGAAGTGGAAAAATTATGTTACAGGAGGCCTGACACAGCCACCCGTGTCACCTGACACGGCCATGTCAGAATGAAAGGCGTGCAAAAGTGAGAAGCCAGGGGGGCTGACACGGACAACCGTGCCACCTGACACAGGTCGTGTCAGCATGCTTGGGACTTGAAAAAAGAAAAGAAAATACCAAAGGGCCAACATGGGAGCCTGTGTCACCTAACACAGGCCGTATTGGCCAGTGACGCTGATTTCCATTATTTTCCTTATTTTTCACTATGTGTGACCCAGAGGGGCATTTTGGATATTTCCAACTGACCTAAGTGAATGTTTGCTATTTATATGAATTTCGAAGAGAAACTAGGGGACTTTTTACCAGGAGATAATTTTGACGATTGAAGAGAGCAACACGTGAGATTATGGAAGGATGAAGATTTTTCATGAGCGGACACAATTGAAGATCAAAGTTCATCAGTTATCTATAAAGTTTAACTTTTATGTTATTGAAATTATTTTGAATAATATGAGTAGCCAAAACCCCCAATGCTAGGGGGTGTCCCTTATTTGATTTTGTAACGACTATGAATTCCTAATTTATTTAATTCAATAGTTTTTTCAAATTCAATTTGATCGTTCAATATTTTGAATGTTTTCCCTGTCGGACCAACTAGGATTGATTTATGGCTAACAATCAGCTCAACTGCGGTCGTTAAAGTTTTTGTGCGATTAAACCATAGCAGATATCACCTAGGACTAGGGATACCTTATATGATACCGGTTAATTCTGGATAAAACCAAGGCTTGATTTCATCATAATTCTCTAGGGACTTAGGATTTAGGATGAATGTTTAAAGGTTTTCCCACTAAGGGATTATAAGAAAATAAACTAAAGATCTGGTAATTGAGTGTTTTGAACTTGTTGAAGAGATCAGGATTCAAGATTGTTACAGGGAAAATCATACACTTTACCCTAGCATGTTCCTCATATATGTGAAAAAGCCAATTTATATTTCTGCTTATTTTCACTTATTTTTAAGTAACAATTTCCAAACAAAACCCCAAATTAAGTTTTTGTCTAATTAAAATCGGTACTTATACGCAGTCTTTGAGATTGATACTTTGGGGATTTCTCATTATTACTATATTGGAAAAATAGTACACTTGCTATTTTTTTGATCAAGTTTTTGGCGTCATTGCCGGGGACTACCAAAATATAGCGTTTGATTTGAGTTCAATTGGAATTTTGTTGCTCTGCAACTAAAATTTTATTTTATATCATTTTAATATTTTTGTTATTACTGTTTTTTGTCTAATCTTTGTATGCGAGGAAACTCCTCAACTGAATTTATTTTTGATGCAGAGATCGAAAGAATTTTTCACGCAAGGTGTAGACAAGCTCGATTAGCCAGACTGGCCTCAGACGAAGAACATTTAGTTCATACAGAGACAGACGAAATTATAAGAGGAAATACCAATGGGAGAAAATCGACTAGCACCTGAGAGGCTACTTGGTGACTATGGTGGTACAAATGCACCGGCTGGTAGACTGGAAATTATAAACCAACTGGTGATTGAGCCAAATTTTCAACTGCATCTGAGTATAATCACTCAACTAGAGAGAAGATCTTTCATCGGGAAGGTCAATGAAGATGCCAATAAACACTTGTAGAGGTTCCTCACCATGAGTACTACTTTGAAGATTGAGGGACACTCTGAAGAAGCAAAGAAATTAAGAATGTTTTCGTTCACGCTTTCTGAAGATGATGAAGAGTGGTTTTACTCATTACCTGCTGGGAGTATTACTACTTGAGAAGAGATGGAGAAATTTTTTCTTGATGAATACTTTCCTGCTTCTGTTTATATTCATAAAAGATATGATATTGTGAATTTTAAGCAAAAAGAGTGAGAGTCACTAGGTGATGCTTATAAGAGGTTCAAGAGGTTGGTAGTAGCTTGTCTCGCTCACAATATGGATCAAACTTAACAAATGCATATGTTTGTAAATGGTCTCAGAATGAAGACAAAGTAGCTTATTAATACATCAACTGGTGGCTCATCCAATTTTTCAACAGCCACTGGTATTAAGAAGATAATTGAAGCAATTGGTACAAGCGAACATTTGGAGTTGCATGACACAATTGCAAGCAAACCAAAGGGAATGATTGATTTGAAGTTGGAGGCCCATAAACAACTCATAATTGAAGAAATAGTAGTTGCAGAAGTAGAGAAAAAGCTGAAGGAATTAAAAGTAGGCACTCAATAGGTAGCTTAGGTTCAGCAGGCACAAAATGCGATTTGTGAAATTTATAGTGGACCACACAGTACTGTGCATTGTCTTGCAACTCAACAACAAATTGAATATATAAAGTTCTTGAAGCAGAATAATATGTATTTGAACACCTATAATCTGGGGTGGAAGAATCATCCCAACTTCTCCTAGAAAGAACAACAACAACAAGCTCCTCGGAAGGCAGAATTGGAGGTAGTTATTTAAAAGATGGTTGCCAATAATTCTCAATTTCAAGAAGAGGAAAGGAGAAACCACAGGAACACCATATCGTCAATAAAAATTTGGAAGTTCAGATGAGACAAATAGCATAAAAATTATCTCTGCAAGCACAGGGCAATCAGAAAATTCGTGAAAATATTAATGTTGTCACAACAAGAAGTCAAAAGGGGTCAGAAAGTGAAGAATAGAAGGTATCAGGTGCTGACTATGCCATCAAGGTAGATCTGGAAGTGATAGAAAACAAGAAAGAGCTGGAAGAAGTTATACCACTTGTAAAGCCAACTAAAGAAAAAATTAAAAGGGAGGCTAAACTGGCGATTAAGCTGCCATATCCATCTCAAGGAGCAAAGAAGGACCCAAAAGATAAAGACTTTGAGAAATTTGTCACAGTGTTTAAAAATTAGAGATCAACACGCCTTTCTTTTAAGCTCTCGATAAAATGCCCATGTACCAAAAATTCATGAAGGAGGTACTATCTAAAAAGAGACCAGTAAAAGATGGATCAGTATCTGGTGATGAGAAATCATGTGAAATCACGCTCGAGAGAAGAATACCTATTAAGTATAAGGATCCTGGATCAGTTACAATATTATGCATTATAAAAGACAGAACATTCAAGAGGGTTCTAATTAATTCTGGTTCTAGTGTGAGCTTAATGCCATTATCGATCTTTGAAAAGCTTGGTATTGAAAAGATAAGCGAGAGTGGGACAAAATTAAAATTTATTGATCACGCCATCAAGCACTTATATGGGATATCTGAAGATGTATTGGTGGAAATTGACAATTTTATCTTTCCAGTTAATTTCCAGATCATGGACATTCCTGAAGATGAAAAGACTTCTATCATTCTTAGTCGAGCATTTTTTCTTACTAGTCGATGCAATTTTGATATCGAGACAGGTCATATAACATTAAAATCATTTGATGAGGAGATAACTTTGAAGGTGTTGGAAATCAAGAAACAAGGTGGAAATAATCAATCTTTGGACGATATTATCAAACTAGAAGGAGAAAGCAAAATTTCAAAACCGCCTCCAGAAAAAGTCTCAAGAATAATCTTTCAGGTGGCATCATCTCATGCATATATAAAAATTCCTAAATTCATTCAATAAATCAAGAAGAGAAAGAAAAAGGAACATCAAGGAAAGTAGATGGAAGTTGGAAGTGACTTGAAGCACAAAGTGTTCCATACTTTTCATCTAGATGAGTTTAAGGTTGTAGAAAGGATAAGCAACAAGGTGTGGAAGAGGAAGTACCCCCCATAATAAGGAGGAACGAGTTGTCGAGCCATGCGATGTTAAAAGAAGCGCTTCGTGGGAGGCAACCCACTCTTTTATCGACTTAGCTTTTTCTTTGTGTTGTTTTGTTTTGTTTTCAGGTAATAAAAAGGGGACCTTCCGGGTGAAATATAGGAGGCAGCAGTTGGTGTTGCAGTACCCTCTGTGAGTCACCTTTCTCGATCTTGTTCTAAAATATTGCTACCAATGTTTAGTTAAAGTTTGGATGGCGGATTTACTATTTTTATTTTTATTTATTTTAGGTTATTTGCTTTGTAAAACCATATGTTAAAATCTTCCCAAATTTTGACCGAAAATTTATGTTTTCTTTTGCGCAAGAGCTTGTATTTCAAAGAGATCGGAAATAGGATATAGAGATAAAGGGATGATTGTTTGAGGGTAGGAAATTCAGAATAATGTGACAGTGATACGAGTCTAACATGTAGATTTGTACCATAGTACTTGAATCCATAGAAGTACTCCTTGAGTAGTTTATCTTGACAGCCTGGCAAAATCTAGGTTCACATGCATGTATGATTGATTGAGAAATAAATAATTTTGGCACCAAATGATGAAAAGGCGGTAAAAGGCAACCGATCTGCTAAGTTGGGTAGTCCTCATCCGATTATTCATCCTAAAGGGGGTTGATCCCCAAATGCCTCAAAATAAGGATAATATATAAACTGCAAAGTTTTGAAAATTTCATCGGTAGTTAAAAGTGGCAAAAGCTGCTTATTTGGTGCCTAAACAAATTTTTTTGATTAGTATTGTGCATGTGATGATCATTATAATTCTCACTGCCTTAATTTGCTTGTCGGAATGAAAAAGGTGGAAAATCAAAAAGAGACTTAAGTACAAAGCATAGTTAGAGAGGTATCAGAAGAGGAAACTCAGGTTTAAAAGGTTCTTACAAAAACTCTTCGTGTCATGTGAATAC